TGCACATAGCAAACTGGAACCCATGAAAGGGATGCTTGCTTTTATATATGGGCATGCAAATTTATTATAGTATATATAAAAAATAAAAAAAAATAAAAAAAAAAACTTTGTAGTGTCTCAGCCACCCCCCACTCCTGTCGTCACATGGGGCTGCTCTAGTATCATGATTGACAGCGGAGCATTGACTCATCACTCCACTGTTTATCATTGCTGAACATGTGGGTGGAGCTCCAGAGATCACATGATCCATTAAACTCCGCTCCAAATGTAAACTGAAAGCAATGCTTGGATTCATGTGTTTTGTTTCAAGTAATGTTATTTACACTTGGAGCAGTATTTAACGGATCACATGATCTCCGGAGCTCCACCCACACATTCAGCAATGATAAACAGTGGAGTGATGGGTCAATGCTCTGCTAATAATCACAATCCGGGAGCAGCCCCGCATGACGTCAGAGCGTCACATGGGGAGACCTGTTAATGTTTAAATAAGGACTTCCAGAGCTTGTGCAGACGGAGTGGCAACACAGAGGAGTGAAGATCACTCACAAGAACGTTGCCACCTGTAATAGGGAACTGGCAGGATCACCAGGCATTTGCAACCACAACAGCGCTTTTTATACAGATAAACCGCACACATAATCAGATGTAATACTTGTACAGCCTAAGACACAGTTTCAAGTTTGGGTTTAATGCCACTTTAACATCATTCACTTCCAATACATGGAAGGAGATTGTCAGAAGCTGCAGCTTAGAGTTTCTATCAATCAGTGCTGCTTTTTAGTTTCCACTTTTTTTTTTAGATCTACCACGGTCAGTTTTGTCTGAAATGTCAACCAGCGGTGCAGGGCATGATGGGAAGGGAATACAAAGGTTCACAGACAAATAGACTTGGCACAGTTAATGCAGCTTTGACAACTGGATGATGATGATTATATACCAAGGCTTTTTATGTTTGCTTGGAGGATTTCCTGTATAGATGCTATATCCCATCATGAGAACCGACTGTGAAATAGATGAAATGCATCATGATGTCATGGTGGTATTGCTGACAATACACATTCAATAAAAATATAAGACCTGTTTGGTTGAGTATTTATTACATTGGTTGGCTGCCTCGATCATTGGCTGGTGGCATTTTTGGGGGGGGGGGGGGGGTACCTGGATGAAAAGTCAAGAGGCCAAAAATGACAACATTATGTACAAACAAATAGTACCCACACATTTTATTTAAGTCCTCCTGACAATTCTTTTAAGAACATACTGTTTACATGTAGAAGGGAATGGGAGGGGGGAAAAAAAATACAATATGTCTATCCTTTCCCTGCCGGAGAGTTCAGCCACGTCCCCTCGGCCCCGCCCTCGTTCTCTCTCTCTCTCTGGCGAGGGTCAAGCTATATAAGGATGCCATATACAAAAGATCACGTGACCATATCTAGCTCACCGCATAGATCTATGTAACCACTTGCTTAAATATTAATAAAAATACATTTTTTATGGATTCTGTGCGACTACAAAAAGAGAAATTACAATACACATAGAATTTACAATAGGCAGTTATTTTTTCTAGGTTGTTTTTCTTTTTTTTATTTTATGGTCTTTTAGGTGGGTTTTATCAATCTTCCCTCCCAAAATGTTGAGGCAGAAGGCCGTGTCATTAAAGGGTCAGTCCAGTAAAACCAATATTTGGTTTGAGCAGATGCTGGAGGGACAATTCATCTACTGTTCTCAACTGTCCAGAACTCATTAAACAGTCACACGATCGTTCACTTATAATTTTCATTTGCTTGTCTTTCATGATACTGTCATAGAAGGAACCTTTGAATTTTTCATACGAAAAACATAAAAAAAAAAAAAAAAATATCACTCCTTGATTCTGTCAAGGAAAAATATGTGCACATTACAACTGAAAGACAACATCGCAAGTGCCATACACACCTTACTGTTCAACCGGATAACACCAACTTTTCAGGTTCACCCAATTGACTATTTGGCAAATACTCGCTCATATTAATGACATTAACACACACACAGATAACCATTTAAAAGGAAAAACAAACAAAATTGAGAAAGTAGTATGAGGTGTTTGGTCAGCGTAACGTGGACCTGTATGGTGATGTAAAAAGAGTAAAAAAGTTACAATATTATGCCTGATTTACCTAAAATGCCCAGAAAAGCTTATGTTTGTTCTGTCATTTTGGACATTTCTCAACCGTCTCCAGCCAGTCAGGTGGCCACTGCCTAGGCATTGATTATGGGATCTCATTCTGTTGTAAGGCTTTTGTAATTTACAAGTAACTAACTTATATAATTTAGGTAACTTCTACAATTTAGGACGTTCTTCAACCGTCTCCCTCAAATCACGTGACCACTGTCTAGGCATTGATTATGGGATCTCAGTCTGTTGTAAGCCTTTTGTAATTTACAAGTAACTAACTTATTTAATTTAGGTAACTTCTACAATTTAGGACGTTCCTCAACCGTCTCCCTCAAGTCAGGTGACCACTGCCTAGGCATTGAATATGGGTTCTCAGTCTGTTCTGTAATTTATAATTACAAGTAACTTCTACAAGATTGAACGTTCCTCAACTGTGTCTCAAGACAGGTGGCCACTGCCTAGGCATTATGGGATCTCATTCTGTTGTAAGGCTTTTGTAATTTACAAGTAACTAACTTATATAATTTAGGTAACTTCTACAATTTAGGACGTTCCTCAACCGTCTCCCTCAAGTCAGGTGACCACTGCCTAGGCATTGAATATGAGATCTCATTCTGTTGTAAGGCTTTTGTAATTTACAAGTAACTAACTTTTATAATTTAGGTAACTTCTACAATTTAGGACGTCCCTTAACTGTCTCCCTCAAGTCAGGTGACCTGGCAATGAATATGGGATCTCAGTCTGCTCTCTAAGTTCTAACTACAAGTAGCTTCTACAAGATTGAACGTTCCACAACTGTGTCTCAAGACAGGTGACCACTGCCTAGCCACTGATCATGAGATCTCTGTGAAAAAGTGTTGTAAAACAGAACATCAGGAAGAGCTTGCCATCAGTGGCTCATCCAAAATATTCATTCCTTTCTATTAGGCAGAGACCATGTGCTGGTCAACTAAGGAAGAAAATGACCAAGAAAAGAACATTTCCTTGATCCTTCAATTTGAAGTTTTTTAATGTCTAAAAGAAAGATTAAAGTTACATTCACACAGGCAATTAGGGCCGGTGTGAATTGTACTGGCAGTCCCTGCTGCGGCTCTCAGCGGTGAGTGTGGGCGCCGGCCCCTTTACTATGACAGGTCACAAGAGGCCGCAGCTATTGGTGGCTATCTGCACAGCCAGCAATTAATCGCTGTTGGATGCAATAGTGTGTCCAGCAGCGTTTACCTCGGGTAACTGATACCTGTGCAGAGAGACACAAATAGCTGCAGCTGCTGATGACCTGTCACTGTAGTGAACGAGAGCAACAGCCGGAATCTGATTCCTGCAGCTAGTATTCACTCCGCTGTACTCGCTGGAGTGAATGTAGACTTAGAAACCTGAACTGTTCTGTAATTCCTGGCACCCGTCATCGCTTAGCTGTCATCTACATGGTCTCTGCTTCGAGGGGAGGGACCAGTGTTTTGCAAAGAACAGTGTTCTTATGTAAGAGCTCCCATAATTAGTGTCTTGGCAGTGGTCACCTGACTTATACAGGCAGCTGAGGAGCGTCCTAAATTATGCAGCATAAGGTTTCCTAAACTTTTTTTTTTAAGTTGGGCAGAATGACTATAACTCTAGTTATCCAAGCCAACAGATTCGGGTGTTCAGCAGAGCTGTTAAAAGTGTACATCTCACGTAGAGGGTAGACCGGCAAGGGAGCCACATACGTGCACAGATGCAGATGTTCTATGACCTTATTTCCATCTTAGTTGCTAAATATCCTATTGATTAGCAGTCTAAAACTCAGATCCATTTACAGTCAACTGTCAGAAGAGAACGCCATAAACGCCTCTCCAATCAGCCTGTGCGTGGTTACCTTTATAGCATGAGTTCCCAGCTCCGCCCACCAGCAGCAGATGTTAGAGCTCCTCGCTCTCACGGCTGGATTCTATAGGAATACATCAGCAGTTGTAAAATTCTAAAGGGAGGAACGCAGGTCAGAGACATACAGAAGGCAAGCCAGCAGATGAATCAAAATACCAGTTCTGCAGGGACTAACCCTTTAAATCTTTTGTTTTTCCTGAAGGGAGGACCTAAGAAAAGTTTTAAGTGTTAGACTTGACACAATTACTACGAGTGGCACTGTATCACCATTTTGTGTACACGTCACATGATCATCAGAACATTACATTTAAAAAATAGATCTCAAAATCTTGACATTCACACGCGCTCACACCCCCACGAGCTGGTTGGAGAAGCCGCCACAGAAACCTGAATCTGTAGTGCTTGATTGTAGTTGTTTGTCTTTAAAAGCAGCTCAAAGTCTAGCAGAGAACAGAGTTAATCCATAGGTGGGTAAAGTCATCTTTTTTTCCCCCCCTTGTCTTTTAAACAGTAGCGTCTTCTAAACAAACACTGTGATTGGTTAAAACCTTCTGAAAACGTCAGTTTCTGTGCAAAAAAAGGAGAAAAATAATATTTCACAAAACTGCAAGCTAGTAAACCAATTTTAATATAAATAGTTCACATTTTTTTTTTTTTTTTGACCGATTATTATTTTCGTCGGAAGCCTTTGGAAAATGAGGAGTTGCTGTAACGTGCGCCGTGAGTCGGTGTAAATGATCAGTAGTCCCAGGACTGACGGCCTGTAGCGGACAAGCTCCCAGGGAGGTTTGTCCCGAACGCCTGTGGAATGTTGGACTGCTGTAGGTACGAAGTGGAGTCTGGAGGAGCTGTCCAGGTGGGTGTCATGCTGCGAGCAGAGTCTCGGGAGGAGGCCGGGGTCTGCTGACAACTGCATGGTCCGCTTTACTGCCCCCTAGTGACTGCAAAAAGATTACTCAGCTGACTGTTTGGCTGGGTCACGTCATCTGTTTGCCGGAAAATAGTTTGGGTCCAGGTAATTGTAACTGGTGCCATGTGGCATGCAGTAATCTCGATCTAGGAATGTCTCTGCCTTGTACACAGGCTCCAGGTGGTGATCCTCTTTGTGGGTTTCCGTTTCGTACAAACTGCAAGCAGAAAAACAAAAAAAGATTGTATTTGCACCCTAATTAAATTATTAGATGGCTTTTTTTTTTTTTTTTAATCCTGTCCCCTCCAGTTAACAAAAAAAAAAAAGCTGAAAAGCACTATTCACCCTCGCCAAACTCCAGTGATACCGCTAGCGTCATCTTTAAAGTGAACCTGCACCAAATAAGTTAGAGATTCTGAACAAGCTGTAAAAGCTCTTTATAGCAATGCCTCATTCATCCCTGTATCTATAAACACTGTGGAGAAATTTGTTTTCAAAATATCACAACACAAGTACTGTGTTTTTATATAACAGCAGACTCTTGGCAGGCTGCTGGTCCTTCGATGTAAACAAACCACAGATTATGCGAAAACAACAGAAACTGTCTTCGATGGGATCTTTGAGGCTATTTAAAAATCAGTGATTGCACGTTAAGGACTAATCCACATATATTGCAGTCACTGATGTATTACTACATTATAAAACACCTGTCACTGCAGGGACACACAGAAAACCATTATTTCCTATGTGTCCCATACACACTACAATGCAGCCTGTGGCTGCGCTGCAGCGTGTTGCAATAAAGTTCAGACATGCTGCATTTTATTGCAGCGCACCGTGCCAAATTGCATGGGAATGTACGACAGTGCAGCGCATCGAACTGCCATACATTGTCATGAATCAAGTTCACATAAAGTTTATACAAAAAAAGGGAGCCACGTGATGCACTAATCTCGATCTATCCAAGTACCGCCCAGCACGCACACTCCACTCCTCACAAGACCTCCTTCTCTCTAGTTCCCTGGTCTCCTCCTCCCATGCCCGCCTCCAGGACTTCTCCAGGGTGTCATCCATCCTCTGGAACTCCCTGCCCCAACCCATCAGATTATCACCTACTCTCCTCTCCTTTAGGCGCACCCTGAAAACCCATCTCTTCAGGGAAGCCTACCCCCACCCCTGCTAACCTGCCGACCTCCTCCACTCTTCCTACCACTCCATCCCCCACAGCTATCTCCTCCTGTACCACCTATCCCCTCCCTCCTAGATTGTAAGCTCGAAAGAGCAGGGCCCTCAATCCCCTCATGTTTTGCATTGTATTGTTGTTGTTCTGTCACATGTTTTGTCCCCCTTTGTAATGTACAGCGCTGAGGGAACCATTGGCGCTTTATAAATACTGTATAATAATAATAATGCACTAAATCATGCACCTTACTGCTCCCTACCGCAGCCGAAAAAGGAGAGCTGCCATAGCGGTGTGATTTACCCTAACAGCAGCTAAGGAGGTCAGGGGTGGCTTGGTTGAAAGCTCTTCAATTCCATGTAAAGAATATGTAAATTGTTTGTTTCCGTAGTCTGGACACGGGTGCATGTTAGGGTTGAATGACAACACTCCCTGTGAATACAGGCCACCATGGACACACTACCAGGTCTGGGCTTACAATGGAGCTGATATAGCTTCATCACCATTCTCTACAGTAGTAGACAGGTGTCATCAGGTGCCCCATCTGTGTCCCTTAGTTTTCATTATCTGCAGACAATCTGTGGGCTCGGTCTCTATTGTGGGACATCTCTGGAACCCCAGAATCCATTACTTCTGCACACAGTTTATAACTGGCTGGTGAAGTGGGCTTAGCTACAGTGATGCAGACGGTGCTTATCTCTACAATTTGTTTAAATATCCTTTTTTTGCACACATGGCAGCTGACACTTTGCTGAATATATGTGCTAAACAGAAATCATTTTATCACTTCTGGCATTACAGAAATGAAACCAACCAGATAGGTGGAGCAACTTAATGTATATTAATATGAAAGCTGCCATTTCTGACTCCACAAAAAGCTATATATCTGGTCGTCATAATCATGCTTTGGCCTCAATGCGTTAAAGTGATGTTAAAGCCAAAAGCAAACATTTATTATATTGCAGCTTACCAATTCTTAGATGTGATGGCTGCATTAATTTTCTTTTTTAGACTTTATATTTTCACCTGGTTATCTAACCAAAAAGTCTGCTGTTTTTCAAAAGAAAAAACTATTTTGCAATGTATCAATTACAGGAGATGAGACAAACCATTTACAGGGGTGCTTCCAATGATCAGCTTTTATTTATGTAAAACTTTTATCCCAAAATAAAAAAAAACTGTTTGCTGTAACTGCTTATAAAGTATTAGCTGAAGTTTGACTTTGTTAATGTATTTATATCTGCTAGTACATGTAACACTCCTCTCTCCTCAATCTGACAATGCTGCTGTTCAAAGGTGCCCCCTGTGCTCCTTCAGGCAGAGTGGGGGCACTCTAATACAGGAGGTGTGTTACTGGCCAGATCACCAGCTGAAACAGACAGAAAAAAAGCCTTAAAAAAATAAAAAGAATGCAACCACCACATCTAATGATTGGCAAGCTGCAATATAATACATTTTTTGGTTGTGGGTCCAATTCCACTTTAAGTCAATGACCTGGAACAAGCATAGACAAAGAAATGTAATTCCTCGGACAGTCAAGCAGATGCATTTATAGACTGCTTAATACTGTATACACAGCTCTCTGCACCCGTTAATGTTGGGGAACAGAGTGTAGTCCAAGGAAAGAAGTTACAGAGAGCAGCACTGGGCTTTTACTGGACCAGATTATCCACTTACCCTCTAGAAGATTTACCCCCTTCATAACCGGGCCATTTTTTTCCCATACCACGCTGTGCTACTTTATCTGACAATTGTGCAGTCATGCAACACTTTACATAAATATAATTTATGTAATTTTTTTCACACAAATAGTGCTTTCTTTTGGTATAAAACATATCCAATAAAAACATTTAAAAAGTAAAATGTAGGCCAAAATGTGTTGGTATTGTTACTCGCATTTTACTATAGGCTGGGCAGGACTCTCGTCCCTCCGGGAGGGCGTCATGTGACGTCCTTCCCAGATCGTGCCTTGCACGTGCCCACAGGGCTGCGCTGTGGTGAGATCTGTCACCGGTTGTGTACCTCGGACACAGCCGAAGACAGATCTGTGTACCGGCCTCGTTGCCAGTACCATGTGACCTGCTGTGACCAAGGAGGAGAGAGATCGGTGTTGTTTATATTCACAGATCTCTCTACTGTCGGTTGCTCAGTCGATCACCAGGTGCTGGCAGGGATCTGATTGACTGACATGTACAGGAGCCAATGACAGCGCGGGTAGGCAGACACACTCGTCCCCCACCCAGAAAACCAGAGTAACGTGTATATAAGTGATTCTGCACAAAGTAACACAGGGCTTTACTGCTACAGGACGGTCGGCAACTGATTCTATTTAGACCAGTTTCTCTCTTTCAATAGACTTCAGCATGATGCTTAATGCAGCGTAGAAAAGGCAGGTAAAGTTGTCCCTATAGATGTCCCTATAGATGTCTAGAATTATTCTGACATCCGCTGTTGGATATAAGTTGCAACTGTGAATTCAGCCCAGCATAACCAATTTAAAGTGAACCAGTCATAGGGGAATAACGTACAGACCAACACTACTTAAGGGTCACAAGCTGCCACTACAAACCTGTGAGATGCACAGTGTGCAAACTCCATAGCTGGAGCAGAATAATTACAAGACCAGAGGATGCATCAGAATTTTATACTGCCTGCTATTCCCTATGAATGATAGTTTATGTCTTAGTGACAGGTTTCCTTTAACATATTTGGCTCCCAGCACACTCACCAGTCTGAGCACGAGTCACAAAAGTCCACAGACATTTGAGGAGGACAGTCCTGGCAATGCCACCGGATACCCTGGATAGGTTCTGTCCTGCAGTTATCACACTGAAAGACAACAGCACAGGCGTAATTATACAAAATGACTATAAAATCACACAATATAACTTACTATAAATAATGGTTTATAAAAGCTGCTCATAACAAAAGCATTTACAGATCACTCTCTTGACTGAAACACAATTTTATCAAAGGAAGGTAATAGGGCAGAGAAGGAAGGAGGTCTCTATGTAAGGAGTGAATGGCAGGTTGGGAACCTTGGAGCAAAACACATTAGCCCTCTATTTCAGTCCATTTAAGCTGCACTTTGGTCTTATCCCAAACCCGGATTCGGTGGTGCAATGTGGCACTTAGGCAAGGACTGGCTTTTCAGGCCCACCTAAAAAGGGGTAATAGGCACTTTCAACCACCCAATATCACTCAAGAGTGTTTCAACTCTCGAGAACAGGCTTTTTCAACCAAGGTGACCAGACACCCTGGGGTGAGCTCAGGATTCTTCAGGGGTGCCTTATCAAAAGCTTAAAAATTGCCCACAAACTGTATACAAGTCAGCGGGTGGATGAAGCCTGCCTTTTAGTCATACAAAGCCACTGGATTTCATTGTGCACTATTACAACCTTCCAGCTGCAGGACTCCTAACAACCAGTGACATCATCAGTTGATAAGGACAACATTGGGTGCACAGCACCCTCGTTTGCCCTCTGTGTCAGCACTGGGGTCACATTAGCGGAGTGAGGGAGAAGAAAAACACTAGTCAGTACCAGAGTGTAAAAGTGCATTTGCTTTGGAAGAATAAATCACCTCTAACAATGGGTGTCCTACATATGTGGATTTTGCTGCATTGTGTACAACTATTAGTTTAGTTTTTTTACATTTTACAACGGGGCGCCTTGAGATTGTGCAGAATTTTAAAGGGTGCCGCGACTGAAAAAACATTGACACACACCGCTCTAGAATATCTCTGCACAACAGGGGTTTCCTAAAATGGTATACAGGATGTGTGCTGTTGCCTGGTTAATTGTCACAAGAAAGGCACCAGGGGCAAATACACCAATGTTACCACTCCCTCCTTATCAGGGAGAAAGCAGGCCATCTATAGCCAGCTTCATTGGCATAGCATGTCTTAAGGTGTATTTCCACTTCTGCAGCCAAATTGGGATAACATCTAGAACATAGATCAACTTATTAACATATTTGACAATTGCTGCTTACCTTTTTATTTGCATTTTTTTATGCCCTTAGAAATTCTACCTAGCTTCTCCCTTCTATGTAATGTTAAGGTAGGGGGGAGTTGAGGAGTTATGTTTACCATAATTATCCCTGTCTGCACTGTGCTGGCAGATTTCATTATCACTTGTAAACTAGATGTCTAATGTCTGTCCTAACAAAGGGTTACAAACCTCAATACTTGGACAATTAATTCTGCCCGTCAGTTTGTCCATCTAACTGAACTTTGAAATTCTTTAAAATAGTTTGCATTCCTATATATAAACCTGCTCAGAGTAACAACTTGAGGATTAAGGGAAGTATTTTTTTTTCCTTAATTAATTTTAGGTATGCTTTCTCGCCCTTCCATGTGCTCCTTGCTGCAAAGGCCAGTTATAGATTAGGGTGGTTGCCATTTGTTTGTATTGTTGGTGAATTATTGAGGGAACGCACTGGATACCTTCATTGCCATTGTGCTCTTGTTGGGTGTACAGTACACACCTGTACCATTAAGGAGGGGTAGGCTCCCTCCAGGCTTACATGCCCTTAATCTATCCATTATTATATATGTGCTCCAACTTTGGAGGCTCTCAAAACTTGTTAGGACTGCAGTATACTGGGGTGCCATGACGTGGCCTCTGCAGCTTACACATATATTTGCAAATGTGTGCAAACCAAACCCCTGCTTTTAACGTAAACTGTTAGGACAGTTTGGTTTGTTGCAGGCTAGCTGGTAAGTGAGCTGGGAATATTTCTGTTGTTGTTTGTTAACTGGAAACACATAATACACACATAGTGGAGGTTTCTCTATTGTGACTGCAGAAGTGGAAATACATGTTAAACTAAACTGCTACACAGGCAGCACAATGAATGGAACTCATCAATACAGTAGGGCTGATGCAAGTAGAGTCCTGATATGGGGGATCCACTTCCTAAGTAAATTATCCATTTACTTCAACTAGAGAGGCTTTCCAATTTCAAGAGAGTGGAATTCTTTGCTCTTGATGCAACCCTAAAGAACCTCAGAGGTTACCAGTGCGTGTCCATTTCCTGAACTTTTTCATGCCTGTCTCCTGGAATTCCACTGCTGACTTTGTCATAAAGTTATAGCCCAGCCTTGGAAAACTCACTTAAATGAATGCGTTCCTAAGGATGGAAGGGGAAAAAAAAAAATAAGGAGCTCTTTGTGGTGGCAGTTGCATCACTGCTTTGATAAACAGCTGATTGGTGGAGAATGCAAACCTATTGATCAGGAACAAAGGAAGCAGCTATAGAGGTTTTCTACTTACTCAAAAAAAAAAGTGTACATTATAAAATATATTTCAGTACATCTTTTTTTTTTTACCAGAAGACAACATTGGCTTTAACTTTGACTGATCTACTGTGATACAAATTTAAAACTCCATTTTAGCATCATATAGTGCCACCTGCTTGTAAGAACTGGGCATTACATAGTGAGCCCTGTCTTCCTCTATAATCTGGAAACAAATTATTACAGCATTAGACAAATCCATTCAGTGGGGGGGATTCACTTAAACTGGTGCACACAGAATCTGGGAAACTGTGCATTGAAGCCAATCAGCTTCTCACTTCGACTTGTTAAATTAAGCTTTGACAATAAAACCTGGAAGCTGAGTGGTTACTTAGCACAGCTGCATCAGATTCTGTGTGCATCAGTTTTAGTAAATCTCCCCTTCTGTGTCTCAGAACGAACTTACTTTGAAGCCAACGTGCTGCATAAATCCACTGTCAGCCTCCATCTCTTGGAGTCTTCTTTTCTTCAGTTTCTTCAATTCAAGTAGCTCTTTATACTCTGGTAGGCTATGGTAAGCAGTGGGAATGGACTCCTCATCCTGTGGGGAGACAGGTTAGTGTGTGGATGATCCTTCCAGAGTAAGATAAAGACCTACAAGCTTCCTCTATATCAGGACAAGTTTTATGTACGTCTCCTGAGTATTTAGTAGTCTGGCAGGAATTCTTGCTGGCATAGTCAAATAACAATGTCCTAATAGAAGGACCAATCCTGCAGATAAAACCAACCTTTGCCGAAATATAGGAGCGGCCTTTGCTGACCCAATTCTGAAATTGCTAGCTGCCTGGCCGTCTCCAGCTTTCAAACTTTAAAGGAGGAGTACAGCCAAAGCTTTTTTGGCTGTACTTCTCCTGTGGCTCACAGGAGTGCAGTTCGTTTTGCACTCCTGTGACCCATTTTCAGTTGATAGTGGACTGAAGTCTGCTGTCGGCTGACGTCACTCAGCCAGTCCAGGCTGGAGAAAAATCCCAATTTCAAAGTCGGGATCCACCCCAGAGTCTGGAGCAGCCCCTGGCTCAGCCTCCCAGCAAAGAGCTGAGAACCTGAGCCAGCCGCTCCCTCCCCCTTCAGTCCAGCAGATCCAGTGAGCACTGGGGGGCTGAGCAGAGAGAGGTGACTGACAGTCACCGCTCTCTGCTTAGAGTGGAGAGGAGAACTCAGCGGTCATGTAATCGCTGAGTTCCCACCCTTAAAGCCGGCGGGGAACAGAAGCAGCATCAGGCTGATGCTGTATCCACCTAGGTAAGTATAAACAGGGGGGGAAAAAAAGCCCTATTTCTATTTAAGCCACCCGTCTGAATTAGTAATCTACAAACTTGCTCGGGGTCGGCAACTCTTAGGCTTCATGCACACTAGGCTCTCCTGAATGTCTTTTCCCTGACAGGAAAAAAGCAGCATTAAAAAAATATGTGTAAAGCTACTTTTTTTAAATGTGTAAAGGCACATCAAGAATACCGCTTTAGTCTGGCCACTAAAATGAATACTCAAGCGCTAAACACGCCTAGCATGGGAGTTTATTCCAGCCGTAGGTCTGTATGGAGGTACAGACCTACTGTTTTGGGGCTTAAAGCATTTGTAAAGTTTTTTTTTTTTAGCCACTAGGCCCTCCTGAGGCTTTAACCCCCTTCCTGACCAGGCATTATGGCGCTGCGTTACTTTAACTGACAATTGTGTGGTCATGCAACAGTGCACCAAAATTAAATGTACGTCCTTTTTTTTCCCACGAATTGAGCTATTTTTCATGGGATTTGATAGCCTGTGCGGTTTTTATTTTTTTAGCTATACATATCTTTGCTATAAAAAAAATATCCCAATACGTGTAAATTAATTGGTTTACGTGAAAGTTATAGCGTTTACAAATGGTGATATAGATGATGGAATTTTTATTTTTACTAGTAATGGCGCGATCAGCGAATTATAGCGGGACTGCGGTGGGTATCCTGACACTGGGGGGAACTGACTTGGTGTCACTGACATCCCCAGTGACACCAATACAGTGATCAGTGCTGAAAAAAAAGCACTGACACTGTACTAATGGCACTGGGCAAGAAGGGGTTAACATGAGGGGCGATCAAAGGGTTAACTGTGTGCTGTTTCACAGTAAGCTCTGTGTGTGTGCTTCACTGTAATCACACTGCTTTGGATGGCTGTGTTCTGCACAGCCATCCAAAGCAGTGTGCACAAGCTGACAGGAAGGAGAACTGTATTGTTTACATACAGTTCTCCTCCCCATCGGAGATGCTTGGCAATCCCTGGGCGCTGGCGAATAATCACTAGCCCGGACCCGGTGATTGACAGCAGCGGCCACGAATGGCGGCGTGGGTAGGTACATCCTTAATAGCATTGTTTTTGACACCCAGTGTGCATGAGGCCTTTCTCTGTGAGATGACTTGTAGTGTTTCATTCACAAATCCCTGTAAATGGATCTGTGAATGGATGATGCTAAATTCAGAAATCACCATGGAGCAGAAAGCCAAGATTCAGGTTTGTAGCCAGGATAAAACATCACTGGGTATGATGTATTATGCTGGCCAGACATGTATGGATCTGTTTATTCATGAAACTATAATTTCAATAGTACCCTAAAAAATATTGTTGCTTTTTTTTCACTAAATGTTTGATCATTTTTGATTACATTATGTAACTAAACCAAAATGTAAGCAGTCAAAACTGGGATAGATAACTTCCAATCATTTTTAAAGCTATGTGGTGTATAACATTATTAATTCTGAAGCTTGTGTAAAAAGGTAAAAGTTCACCTTTTGTAACATGTTATACCCATATTCAGGGTGTAACATGTTACAGTCAGACGGGAACCCGCAACCCCACCAGATCCCTCATTGTGACAACTAGCAGGGGATTTTCTCCTCCCCATTAGCTGTCACAATTTGTAAAAAACACAGCCGTTCAGGCCTCCACGTGCCAGGCCACATCACTCATTCACAGTATTCTGTGAATTGGAAAAATACAAGTTCCGACAGCCTTTGCGGCAGTCAGCTTGTAGTTTACAATGAACTACCACGGCACTCCACAGGGCCGTGGTAGTTCATTGAGCCTTCCTGTCAGTAAGTACCTGTTTGCCCGTATGGGATGTACGAGCAAGCAGATATACTGACAAATCAGGGGGAGACTTGCACGGCACGAGCGATCTGCTGATTCACCTGAAGGAGGAGAATATGGCAGGTGATGGTGGACAGCATATATCCAGGCTATAAAACGATAAAATGGAATACACAAGATTTGTAAACACATACAGTCATGGCCGAAATTGTTGGCACCCTTGATATTTTTCCTGAAAATCAAGTATTTCACACAAAAAAGGTATTGCATTAACACATGTTTTGCTATACACATGTTTATTCCCTTTGTATGTATTGGAACAAATATAAAACAGAGGCAGAAAAGCAAATATGACATAATGTCACACAAAACCCCAAAAATGGGCTGGACAAAAGTATTGGCACCCTTAACTTAATATTTGGTTGCACACCCTTTGGAAAACATAACTGAAATCAGTCGCTTCCTATAACCATCAATAAGCTTCTGACACCTCTCACACCCGGAATTTTGGACCACTCTTCCTTTGCAAACAGCTCCAGGTCTCTCTTATTGGAAGGACAACTAAAAAACCTTTTCCCAACAGCAATTTTAAGATCTCTCCACAGGTGTTCAATGGGATTTAGATCTGGGCTCATTGCTGGCCACTTCAGAACTCTCAGCGCTTCTTTGCCATCCATTTCTGAGTGCTTTTTGACGTATGTTTGGGGTCATTGTCCTGCTGGAAGACCCAGGATCTTGGACGCAAACCCAGCTTTCTGACACTGGGCCCTACAGTGCGACCCAAAATCCTTTGGTAATCCTCAGATTTCATGATGCCTTGCACACAGTCAAGGCACCCAGTGCCAGAGGCAGCAAAACAACCCCAAAACATCATTGAACCTCCACCATATTTTACCGTAGGTACTGTGTTTTGTTCTTTGTAGGCCTCATTCCGTTTTCGGTAAACAGTAGAATGATGTGCTTTACCGAAAAGCTCTATCTTGGTCTCATCTGTCCACAAGACGTTTTCCCAGAAGGCTTTTGGCTTACTCAAGTACATTTTGGCAAACTGTAGTCTTGCTTTTTTATGTCTCTGTGTCAGCAGTGGGGTCCTCCTGGGTCTCCTGCCATAGCGTTTCATTTCATTTAAATGTCGACGGATAGTTCGCGCTGACACTGATGCTCCCTGAGCCTGCAGGACAGCTTGAATGTCTTTGGAACATGTTTGGGGCTGCTTATCCACCATCCGGACTATTCTGCGTTGCAATCTTTCATCAATTTTCCTCATCCGTCCACGACCAGGGAGATTAGCTACAGTGCCATGGGTTGCAAACTTCTTGATAATGTTGCGCACTGTGGACAAAGGCAAATCTAGTTCTCTGGAGATGGACTTGTAACCTTGAGATTGTTGATATTTTGCCACAATTTTGGTCTCAGGTCCTCAGACAGTTCTCGTCTCCTCTTTCTGTTGTCCATGCTTAGTGTGGCACAGACAGACACACAATGCAAAGGTTAAGTGAACGTCTCTCCTTTTTATCTGCTTTCAGGTGTGATTTCTATATTGCCCACACCTGTTACTTGCCCCAGGTGAGTTTACAGGAGCATCACATGCTTGTAACATTCTTATTTATCCGCAGTTGTGAAAGGGTGCCAATACTTTTGTCCAGCCCATTTTTGGAGGTTTGTGTGACATTATGTCGAATTTGCTTTCTTTCCTCCCTTTTTTTGTTTTGTCCCAATACACACAAAGGGAATAAACATGTGTATAGCAAAACATGTGTTAATGCAATACGTTTCGTGAGAAATACATGATTTCCTGGAGAAATATCAAGGGTGCCAACAATTTCGGCCATGACTGTAGGTCGACCACAATTACCGAGACTTCATCATCATCGTCAGCAGCTGTGTCGAGGTCCCGGCTGTGGAAACTGGAGTGGTCATCATCCTCTTCCATGAACACAGGAGGCTCGTGGGATGTCATGAAGGTAGAGGGTTTAAAGAGGTGTTTGTTGAGGATATGCTGTCGCTTATTGGTAGGCTGTGTATACAACAGCAGGAAAAATATTTAAGACACCCTGTCTGCAGATCATTTATTTCAACAACAATCTTCCCTTAAGAATATATGTACATTTAATGTATTATATACATGCTATTTACCTGTAAAAGCCTCCCTTGTGTAGACATCCTAAAGGACTGGGAGACTGCTACTGGGTGTCACCCTCTTGAATGTGATGTCAGCAGCCCCAGCAGACTCAGAGCTGACACTCAAGTGACACTTTATAGTACTGTCTTTTGCTCCACCCCCGAGCAAAAATATAAAAGGTTATTATAGGGAGGTGAACATAAGGACAGAGGAGCTGGTCCAGCCCAGAAGAGCAGAGGGCAATGGCATAAAAGGAGGGTTGGGGGCTGTGCTAGAAATTGACACCTCCTGAAGTAGTTACATTTTTACATTGCAAGTGAATAAAAAATTATTTATGGAAGAAAAAAACTAAGGCATTTAAAGTAGAATTTCATTTTTATTGTTCACTTTAAGGTGATTGTAAAGGCAGATTTTTTTTATAAACAACAAACATGTCATACTTACCTGCTCTGTGCATCAGTTTTGCACAGAGAAGCCTTGATCCTCCTCTTCTTGGGTCCTGCACTGGCACTCATGGCTCCTTTCCCCCATTGAGTGCCCCCACAGCAAGCCGTTTGCTCTGTGGACACTCGTGTGTGCTCGCTTCTGAGCAGCACGCTTTGTGATTATGAGACACACAGAGCACGGCTTGGCCTCGACCCGGCTCCCTTCTGACTGGATGTGATTGACAGCAGTGTGTCTGAGCCAATGAAGAGGGAAAGAGCCAAGAGAACCACTGCTCTCGTGCACATCGCTGGATCAAAATCGGGCTCAGGTAAGTATATGGGGGTGGGGGGGAGCAGCACACAGGTTTTTTTTTTTTTCATGCATAGAATGAACAAAGGTAAAAAATCTCCTGTCTTTACAAACCACTTTAAATAGTTTGCTTGAGCCAAGCTGCCCCAAATGAACTATTTCCATTACTTAAAGTATACTAAAGATTTATTTATTTTTTTAAATAACAAACCTGTCATACTTACCTGCTCTGTGTAATGGTTTTGCACAGAGCAGCCCACCACAGGCTCTCCTGGCCCCTCCATCCTGTCGGGTGCTCCTACAACAAGCAGTTTGCTATGGGGGCACCTGAGCAGGTGCGCCCCGGAGCCACGGCTCTGTGTGTCCGTTCACACGCAGAGCAGCGGCTCGACCCCGTCCCCTCCCTTTTCTGATTGGCTCACTGGCTGTGATTGACATCAGCGGGAGCCAATGGCTCCCGCTACTGCCTCAGACAATCAGGAGTGAGAGTCCCCGGAGAACAGAGGCTCTCGTGGACATCGCTGGATCGGGATGAGGCTCAGGTAAATGTTAGGGGGGGTTCCTACACACAGGTTTTTTACTTTCATGCATAGACTGGAGCCTTTAGAACCACTTTAATGATGCAGCCTTGGGGTGTGCTGTAATGCACTATAGTAGCACAAGCTACATACAGTAATCAGCAATGTGTTCCGCCAGCAGTAAAGGTGATTTCCCATCTTTTGTCAGAGTTAAGAGTCAAGCAGAGTGCTTCCTTGCAATTCAGCCTTGTATTTTAATCAAAAGAATACAGGCTTCCTCTGATTGGCCAGGGTTGAGATGTGGGCAGATGGTGTTATGATTTATTGAAGAAGCCTTGTCAAGTGGGGTATACAAGGAGACGTACCATATGCACATGCATGAGTAAATGCCATTGCAAAAGCTCAGCTGTGTACACCCATTCACTTGTATGGTCGACTGTATGCAGCATTCACACTGGCACTCCTGCATTTAGCTTTTTCTAAATGCAGAAAAAGTCAACTGTATCAGTATGCATTCTGGGCATTCGTCTCTTGGTGCAGTGCATTCTAATTAGTACCACTTGGCGGGGGCGTCCCTAGGGTTGGTGTCACCCGGTGCGGTAACACTTGGAGTCACCCCTCCGACGAGGGTGACACCGGACCTGCTCCACAAAAAGGTCTGATCCATTATGCTCCCCAATCCGCAGATCCGATCCATGTTGCGGGGATCCTCGGCTTGCTCTAAACCTTACCTTTTCGTGGAGCTCGTGGAAAGATCAGTTAACCCCGTATAGGTTGCAATCTGACGATCCCCACAGGATGGATCAGATCTGTGGACTGGGGAGCATAATGGATCGGACTCCGATCTCTTATGCTCAATCCGCAGATCCGATCCATCCTGCGGGGTTCATCGGCTTTCTTTAAACTTACCTTTTCATGGAGAAGGTCCAGCGTCACCCTGTGTGATAGGTGTCACCCGGTGCGGCACGCACCCCCCGCACCTGCCTAGAGACGCCACTACCACTTGGTGAACTATCCAGCTGCAGCAGCTTTTAGCCTCTCTGTACCTTCCACCCCACTAAATACCAGAATCTCATGCACCTTAGGCTAAATGTCCTGTATGCATGAAGCCGAATACAAAAAACCTAATATAATAGGTTCTCACAAGATTACCAAAAATTCCTTTTTAAGATTTGGGATGGGGCAAATTGCAAGTTGTAGTGGAAAAACAAGTCAAATAGGGTAAAAGGGGATAGCAGTTTACCCATTTTAAATGTTTTATTTTTTTTTTTTTTTTAAATATAATTTATTTCACTATATGCAATTTTTGTTTTTCCAATACTATGGGGGGGAGGGGGTAATTTATAAAATAGCGGTATAGCTGCTTTAAATGAAAAAAAACAAAAAAAAACAAACAGGCACCCTACATATATAAAGCACAGCAATGTGCTTTACACACATGCTTAGCACACCGCTGGCTTTGGGACTGTGACAGTTCTGCTAATTAAAAAAAACACAAGCTAATCGACCTGCTCTCCTCCAATCACAAAGCTTTGTGGGACTTCATTGGCTACAAATTACTGCCCGATTTTTATGAATGAGATGGGCTGCAGTGTGCATAGCACAGTGGTGCATAACAGAAAGCAATACCCACTCTCCATTATAAATGAGCCATTAGGGGTAATCTAAGATGACAGCTCAGCAGATGTTACTTGCTTTGTAGCTCCTAATAACCTAAAAAACTCCTAATAAACCCCTTGATAAGGGAACAGTCACTGCTGCGATGATTTGCGGCGAGTCCTCTAAATGGGCTTATTGAAGCACAGCAGGAAAGTAGCCATACTAATAACATAAAAGAGAGGCAAAAGCTCCACCTGGTGGCTGAAATGAAGACAACTAATCTATGAATTATTTCCTGAATTAAATAGAAACTAAGAGTGAGCCATAATAGACAGAGAAACTACGGGCAGAAGGCTCACTGGGCAGCACAAAGAAAACAGTGATGACCGAACACATGAACTAATCAGAGAAAAATCTTTGTCCTTTTTTACCTTTTTAGAATACATGTAAAGGTTTGGAGTTCGCCCTGGCACTGGGATGCCAGCTTTGGTCAGTTTTATAAAGTACTTCTGCACTCGACTGGCCACCTGCAAGAACAAAAAGCGACAATGATTAAAAAAATATTAATAATTGTATTTTATATGAGGATGAGCAAAATACCAACCCCCAGCCAGAAAAAAAGTCTGTCCCGTTTTCTTCGCTATTGCAAGCACCCTCCAGGCTGTAAAACTGGTCCCCACAGCCTCTTCTCTATGCTTTGGTGTTCTCAGGTCCCCCACTGTCATTAAGTCAAATGCAGAGTCCATAGCGCTGCATTGCACATTAGAATGATGAGGGGCGGTCCATAGCCAGATCACAGGGAAGTAGAGCAGAGCATTGTCTGCCAGGGGAGTGGAGGATCAGATAAGTAAAACTATATGATGAATATAAGATCAGAGAGCACGTAAGACTCTAATGAGGTCAGCAGCAATTGCACAAAAAAGGAACCCAGAACCTTATATAAAACATACACAAAAGTTGGTACAGCACTGAAAAACTTAATATATATAAGTGCACTATTTAAAGTGCTCTGCTCCACCGGTGTGATGTCACGGCGTACGGCTCCTCCTTGACGCATTTCGTGTGCACGCACGTTATCAGGCACACCCCTTTTGATAACGTGCGTGCGTACGAAACGCATCAAGGAGGAGCCATACGCCTTGACGTCACGCCACGCCTCCGGAGCCTCATGAAGGTCCGGCAGCCATCTTAGAGAGTGGCTGGACTCCAGCCGGAGAACAGTTGCAGAGTAATACATCAGTGGTTCATATAGTGAACTCGGTGTAGAGCTATTCACCCTGAGGTCATCACAGAGGACAAGGGGGCGCTCTTTACGTCTGGAGGAAAAGAAATTTAATCTCCAAACATGGAAAGGTTTCTTCACAGTGAGAGCTGTGAAAATGTGGAATAGACTCCAAGAGTTGGTTCTGGCCAGCTCATTGGATTGCTTTAAAGTCCTGGATTCTTTCCTAGATACACAGAATATAACTGGATATAACATTTATAGGTAAAGTTGATCCAGGGAATATCCGATTGCCTCTCATGTGATCAGGAAGGAATTTTTTTTCCCAGCAGGAGCAAATTGGATCATGCTTTGCTGGGTTTTTTTGCCTTTCTCTGGATCAACTGTGGGTATAGGATTATAACTTTTTTTTTATGGTTGAACTGGATAGACTTTTGTCTTTTTTCAGCCAGGCTAACTATGTAACAATCTCAGGGCTTTTGAATGTCTACACGAGGGAGGCTTTTAAAAAAACTTATGGGAATAATGTTGTTAAAATTAACGGTCTGGCGACCGAGTCTCTTTAATAATGACATATCAAATCTAACCAGAGAGACTGAGAGCCTATACAGGGCCGATTTTCTTCCCTTCCGACAGCTGAGCATGGCAGTGGGCATTATTAAAGTATGAACAATACAATAGACCACTTTAAGATCCCTTCATGATAGCGTCAAACACATATCTCTCACTCAGCGAGATGGTGTTGTGCCACTGATGGTGAAGAAGAGCGTGATGCTACACACCTGTTTGGAAGTCCTGTTTCCCAACTCATCAGCGATCTTTTGCCACCGCTTGGCCTCCACCTCTTCCGGGGGGTACTTCAAAAGCAGTTGCTCCAGTTTTTTCTATTTAATCATAAAATGAAAACAATTTGGTGTTTTTTCATTTGTGTTGAGAGATACACTAAAGAATGAATCTATAAAGCTGGAGAAGAGATGATCACATGGATTTACAATACAATTAACTGGATCCTTTACCTGTTCTTCCACTGTCCACAACTGATTAAAGGTCCCTGGCTTGGAGTCCATACATAGTCGGCCTCTTACCTGTGATACAAGTCAGAATGAGCGTAAGCTTGCCACGAGGCCACATAATATATATAAATACACAAATCATTTCAAGTAACAAGACTGGGACTAAAAAGATATATTTTTCTTTTTAGGAAAATATAAAACACTAAATACAAACATGAAATTGATATATGGGAGCCGCTTTGCTTGCACAAGGATTTGTCATCCAGTTCTGAGATGCAGACAGCATACAACATCGCCCTGTCTGGTTGGGCAGGAGACTTGACTTTTTTTTTCTCTGCTGCATTAACACTCAGGCAAGGTTCAAACTATTGTGGGTCGTGCCTGCGCAGATGTGGCAGCTTATTCATTTAAATAGGCTGCTGTGCCTGCGTTTCACACAGGAAAAAGGTTCCTGCAGCATTTTGAAAATGCAGTGGCTGGGAAGTCGCATGCTGCTTTTGAACCATGCCATTTCCCTGTGGTTCCCAAACTCACACACACGGTGCACTTTTAGAAGCTTAGGGATGCCCTTAAGAATGAATGGCAGCCCCGCAAAACCTCTAAAGCACAGCGCGTTGTGGTTGCAGGAACAACTGCGATTCCGCACCCTCAGCCACCCGCAAAATTATTTATTACAGGTACTTATATAGTGCCATCAATTTACATAGCTCTATATATATATATATATATATATACATTACATACACACACATACATACATACACACACACACACGTATATATATATACATATATATATACACATACATACATATATATATATATATATATGTATGTATATATAGTACATTCACATCAGTCCCTAACCCTCAAGGGGTGTACAATCTAAGGTCCCTAACTTACATTCATACATTCACATACTAGGGTTCATTTAGACAGGATACAATTAGCCAACCAGCATGTCTTTAGAGTGTGGGAGGAAACCGGGAGTACCCGGAGGATATCCACAAAGGTACAGCCAGAACATGCAAACTTCAGGCAGGTAGTGCCGTGGTTGGGATTCGAACCAACGAACCCAGTGCTGCCAGGCCAAAGTGCTAACCACTTAGCAACTGTGCTGCCCTATAGTGTAATCCTAGCCTTAGGAGGTCTTTCCCTTCCCCCAGCCTGTGACTGGACAGTAAAAAGAGAAACAGCAGACTGGCAAGTCTATATCTCAGCTCTCTCCTCCTCTCAGCATGTCCCTTGTTAGCTCATGAGTCCAGCAGTACAACTAATTGGCTGTTTGTGCTGCTTCTCATTTACCCAGTCTGAGCTCTGCTGCACAGATGAGAGAAAGTCAAACTCAGACACTTACTTTCCTTTCATTTTAAAAAAAACAAAGATGTGTCATTTTGACTGCCTGGAAGTTCACCTTTAGAACAGTTTAACAAATAGGCAGTTTGGACTAAGAGTGCTTTTAAACAGTCTTTAATGTGACTTGAAAAAAAAATAAACTAAAATAACCTGGATTTTTTTTTAATTTGTTATAATTGAATTTGTTTGCACATACTTAATGTGCTTTCATGAAAATGCATGAATGCATGCTTAATGCAATGCACATTTATGAACCACACCTACGTTTTAAGCTCAGTAAATCTATGTTGACACTACAGACTGTAACGTGTATGACCCTTATATACAGTGCCTTGAAAATATATTCATACCCCTGAAAGGTTTTCCACATTTTGTCATGTTACAACTAAAAAAGGTAAATGTATTTTATTGGGATTTGATGTGATAGACCAACAAAAAGTGGCACATAATTGTGAATTGGATGGAAAATGTTTTCAAGATGTTTTTACAAATAAATTTGTGAAAAGTGTGGCAGCATTTGTATTCAGCCCCCCGGAGTCAATACTATGTACGACCCCCTTTCACTACAATTCCAGCTGCAAGTGTTTTTGGGGATGTCTCTACCAGCTTTGCACATCTAGAGAGGGACATTTCTGCCCATTCTTCTTTGCAAATAGCTCAAGCTCTGTCAGATTGGATGGAGAGAGTGTCTGTGAACAGCAATTTTCAAGTCTTGTCACAAATTCTCAATTGGATTTGGTCTGGACTTTGACTGGGTCATTCTAACACATGAATATGCTTTGATCTAAACCATTCCATTGTAGCTCTGGCTGTATGTTGCGGGTTGTTGTCCTGCTGGAAGGTGAACCTCCACCCCAGTCTCAAGTCTTTTGCAGATTCTAACAGGTTTTCTTCTAAGATTGCCCTGTATTTGGCTCCATCCATCTTCCCATCAACTCTGACCAGATTCCCTGTCCCTGCTGAAGAAAAGCATCCCCACAACATGATGCTGCCACCATGTTTCACGGTGGGGATGGTGTGTTCAGGGTGATGTTCAGTTTTAGTTTTCCACCACACACAGCGTTTTGCTTTTAAGCCAAAAAGTTCAATTTCAGTCTCATCTGACCAGAGCAACTTCTTCCATGTTGCTGTGTCCCCCACATGGCTTCTTGCAAAATGTAAATGGGACTTCTTTCTTTCAACAATGGCTTTCTTCTTGCCACTCTTCCATAAAGGCCAGATTTGTGGAGTGCACGACTAATAGTTGTCCTGTGGACAGATTCTCCCACCTGAGCTGTGGATCTCTGCAGCTCCTCCAGAGTTACCATGGGCCTTGTGGCTATTTCTCTGTTTAATGGTCTCCTTGCCCGGCTTATCAGTTTAGGTGGATGGCCATGTCTTGATAGGTTTGTACCACTCTTTCCATTTTCGGATGATGGATTGAACAGTGCTCCGTGAGATGTCCATAGCTTGGGATATTTTTTTATAACCTAACCCTGCTGTAAACGTATCCACAACTTTATCCCTGACCTGTCCAAAATGTTCCTTGGCCTTCATGATGCTGTTTGTTCACTAATGTTCTCTAACAAACCTCCGAGGGTTTCACAGAACATTTGTATTTATACTGAGATTAAATTACACACAGGTGGACTCTATTTACTAATTAGGTGACTTCCTAAGGCAATTGGTTCCACCAGATTTTAGTTAGGGGTATCAGAGTAAAGGGGGCTGAATACAAATGCAGACCACACTTTTCAGATATTTATTTGTAAACAATTTTGAAAAACATTTATCATTTTGCTTCCACTTTACAATTATGTGCCACTTTGTGTTGGTCTATCACAGGGGTTTTCAAACTTTCTAAACAAAGGGCCAGTTTGCGGTCCTTCAGACTTAAGGGGGGCCAGACTGTGACCATTGGGAGTAGAAAAGGTCCTGACATCAGTGGGAATAAACCATGCCCATTCTTTGGTTTTAATGGGAGCACTGGCACCCCATCGTTGGTGTCATTGTGAGGAATTGTGCTCCATTTTTAGTGTCATTGGGCCTGCTTGTTGTCATTGTGAGGAATTGTGTCCCATAATTGATATCATTGGGAGGATTTGTGCTGCTCCATTGGTGTCAGTGGAGGGAATTATGCCCCATTGGTGGTATCAGTGGATAAAACCGTGCCCCAAGGGCCAGGTAAAAGCAAACAAAGGGCCGCATCTGGCCCTCAAGCCACAGTTTGGAGACCATTTGTCTATCACATTAAATCCCCAAAAAAATACATTTACGTTTTTGGTTGTAACAAGACAAAATGTGGAAAATTTCAAGGGGTATGAATACTTTTTCAAGGCACTGTACACTATTTTGCCAAAAGTACTGGGACACCCCTTCAAATCATTGGATTCAGGTGTTCCAAACACCTCCATGTCCACAGGTGTATAAAATCAAACACCCAAGCATGCAGACTGCTTCTACAAACATTTGTGAAAGAATGGGTTCGCTCTCAGGAGCTCAGTGAATTCAAGCGTGGTCCCGTGATAGGTTTGTCACCTGTGCAATAAGTTCATCTGTGAAATTTCCTTGCTGCTAAATATTCCACGGTCAACCGTATTATAACAAAGTGGAAGCAACTGGGAACAGCAGCAAGTCAGCCATGAAGTGGTAGGCCACATAAAATGACAGAGCGGGGTCAGCGCATGCTGAAGCACACAATGCGCAGAATTTGACAACTGTCTGCAGAGTCAATAGCTAAAGACCTCCAAACTTCATGTGTCCTTCAGATTAGCACAACAACAGTGCGTAGAGAGCTTCATGGAATGGGTTTCCATGGCTGAGCAGCTGCATCCAAGCCTTACATCACCAAGTGCAATGCAAAGCGTTGGATGCAGTGGTGTAAAGCACACCGCCACTGGACTCTAGAGCAGTGGAGACGTGTTCTCTGGAGTGACGAATCACACTTCTCTTTCTGGCAATCCGACGGACGTGTCTGGGTTTGGCGGTTGCCAGGAGAACAGTACTAGTCTGACTGTATTGTGCCAAGTGTAAAGTTTGGTGGAGGGGAGATTTTGGTTTGGGGTTGTTTTTCAGGGGTTGGGGTTGGGCTTGGTCCCTTAGTTTCAGTGAAGGGAATTCTTAAGGCGTTAGCATACCAAGACATTTTGGACAATTTCATGCTCCCAGCTTTGTGGGAACAGTTTGGGGATGGCTCCTTCCTGTTCCAACATGACTGCGCACCAGTGCACAAAGCAAGGTCCATAAAGACATGGATGAGTAAGTTTGGGGTGGAGGAACTTGACTGGCCTGCACTGGTCCTGACCTCAACCAGACAGAACACCTTTGGGATGAATTAGAGTGGAGACTGCGAGTCAGACCTTCTCGTCCGACAACAGTGCCTCACAAATGCGCTTCTGGAAGAATGGTCAAACCTTCCCATAGACACCCTCCTAAACCTTGTGGACGGCCTTCCCAGAAGAGTTGAAGCTGTTATAGCTGCAAACGGCGGGCCAACTCAATATTGAACCCTACGGACTAAGACTGGGATATCATTGAATTTCATGTGCGTGTAAAGGCAGGCGACCAATACTCTTGGCAATATAGTGTATATCATACTTTGTTGTATCATTTGGTGTAGAGGCAGCAAATACTTTCAGTACCAACGGCCCCGATATCTAATGCACAATATTGATACATTGCCCGAAGACCACAATGCATAGCTATGGTTCCTCACCAATAAATGTCATCAATGGGTACAGACTTCCCAAAACCCTTCTCTTACCTGGGACACATTAATCGCAGAGCTTTCCTGACCATCACTCTGGGGCAGGACAGAATAACAGGAAGGCTCTCCATCTTTTTCTCCTGTTCTCTGAGAATTGGCGTGTAGCCCAGCTGTCCAGAGCAAATAAGGCATTCTGTGTTAGTGCCTTCATTACACAATGTGAACCAAAATTCATTCCCTCATAATAAAGTTGGTCTTGTTTACTTATATTTGAGAGAATAAATGTTAAAGTAGATGTAAATTCTAACTCAATGGGGTTGAGTTACTAAAAGCAAATAGACTGTGTACTATGCCAGTGTAATTGCACTCTGCCAGGGAATGCTCCAGAGTTTAGTAAATGAGGGATAGCTCTGCTGACTTTCTTCAGCAAATCAAGTGCAAGCAAAAATGCAGTTTTTTTTACTTGCATGTGATTGGGTAGTCTCTGCAAAGTGAAGCTTCACCTCATTTACTAAGCTCTGGAGCAAGTTCCTTTGCAGAGTGCAACTGCACAAGCAAAATGCAGTCTAGTTGCCTTTAGTAAATCAACTCCAATTACATTTAGTTTGCTTAAGTCTCAAGCATCATAAACAACTTCCATATTTAAAACAAAATACTTCATTTAATCCTTTCTTGCTGATCGCCTTCTTTGCAGCAATTTTCTTTCTACATACACTCTAGTGATAGCTGCATGACGTGTCTCATGGCAGGTTTACGGATGTTGATAACATGGAATCATTACACAATGGCCTGCATAATGCATGCAAAAAGGGAAACACAGAGGCACGATTGGAAGACGGGCTGAGCATTGTCACCCTAAAAGCAAGCAGTGCCTGAGCAAGGTCCTTCATGGCAAGAACACCAGATATCATTTTCATGAAAACTACAAATTCAAAAATATTGACATTTGACTTTTAAAATTAACCACTTCAAGTCCGGACACTTTCACCCCCTTCCTGTCCAGGCCAATTTTCAGCTTTCAGTGCTATCACACTTTGAATGACAATTGTGCGGTCATGCAACACTGTACCCATATGAATTTTTTTTTTTTTTTTTTTTTTTAGACAGATTTTATTTTGGTGGTATTTATTCACCACTGGGATTTTTATTTTTTGCTATAAATGAAAAAGTCCAAACATTTTGAAAAAAAAAGTGTTTTTCTTATTAAATTTTGCAAATAAATAATCTTTCTTCATAAATCTTGGCCAAAATGTATTCAGCTATCTTTTTAGTAAAAAAAAAAAAAAACCCAAATTAGTTTATAACAAAAAATTATAATTTTTCAAAAAATGTTTTTAATTTTTAATTTATTTTTTTTATATTATGTTTTTGGGTTTTTTTTTAACATACTGTCACTCTCGCAGTACAGTGTCACCATAGTGACACTACTACTTGTGGGGGGTGCATTTTTTTTTTTTACTTTACACCGATTGCTTTTACACCTATAAAGGCTGTAAAAGCAATCATTTCTCCTTCTCTCTGGCTGCATTCTTGCAGCCATTGAGAAATACTGTGAGAGTTGTGATTGGTCACAGCTTGTCACATGGTACAAGGCAGTTGTGAATAGCCTTGTACCATGTGACCTCTGTGATCATTCAAAGATTTCACTAGTAGTAAGCAATGATGTCAGAAGTGGCATCTTGCTTACTACTATTCATGTGATCACTGCTTGGCCAATCAGTAATCACATGATCGGGACCTCGCACAGAGGTCCCATGAAGCGATCGGTGTTCCGCTGTGTCCTCCGGATACAGCAGGCGCCAGATCGCGGTGCCATGCACTCCCAGGGAGCGGGCACAAGCAAAGAATGCGGGAGGACGTTTATAAATGGCCACCCACTACTGCACTGCTCCCGTCCGGCCCATGTACATAAAGTGGTTAACTTCACACTAGGGTTCAGGCTGTACACCACCCAGACAAGCGTACTTTAATGGTAGGTATTGCCAGGTGTTTACATTTAGCGACATCAGCTCAGCCTTTACAAATCAATGAGAGGCTGACAGTGGCCCCGGCTGTCAGAATGTAACTGCACATAGTGCAATTACATGTGATTAGGGTAAGAAGAGTGGCCCCAAACGGAGATAATTTGCAGTGTATGGCTCTGCTTGCCCATGTTATTGAGTCCTAAAAGAGGGTTTGCATCTTCTTTATTCATCTTATTTTTCCCCACTGCATTACATAAAAAGAAGCAAGAATCTGATTGGTTACTGTGAACCTACAATAAAAAAAAATGGTTCTTTCTGAAGATCTTAACTTATATAAGGCTCAGTAATAGAAGAATAGACAGTGTACATCTTTTAAATATCAATATACAGAAGCAAAGCTGATGGAACATCGCAAGCTGCTCCAAATATCAGTTCAGACTGTACCTGGCAGTCAGTCCAAGAGCTGTAAATTATCCATTTTTGGAAATACCTGCCAATGTGTTTCTTAGGCCAAATGTGGTCAAAAGTGATTGGACAGAAAAATATGAAATTAAAAAAGACCCTGTCAAATGTCACCTGCTTCTGCTAAGATACAAATTGTGTAGGAGAAATATGCCAAGACTGGCTGAGCAAAATTACAAAATTGTGAAATTGGGTTCAGCGGGACTTCTGTCATAATCCTTACTAACCTTTATCAAAAATGAGCTTCACTCTTCTTGAATTCCGTTTCCTGTTTCTGAACTCTCGTTCAAAATTTCCAAGAGCTGAAGTATACTGGTCCCAAGAAACTTCTGGTAACTGAACGATCCTCTGAGGGCGAGGAATCCCGATATCCATCTAGTTAGAAGAAAGCATTTAGGTTCGACTTTCACCTTCCAAACAGTAAGGCTTCATTCATACAAGCCTGTTGTGTTTGTTTTATTTAAATGCATAAGTAAATGATTTGGAAAGTATAGTATTTTTTGTACATGAATGTTTCATTCACACGGGTGTACTCTAGCGTCCATCTGTGCATTTACCTTCACAGGGATGCATTTAAAAGTCTTTAAATGTGTAATGTGAAGATTCTGTGTAAGTACCTGTAGAATAGAACAGTGATCTGTGCTGTGCACTGGAATTTTGGGAGACGATATGATGACAAGTATTATAGCATTCTTGGTTTATCATTCATATCTTTATAGTGATGTTGATGGGCCTCAGTACTGATATCTGCCTCCTCAGTCATTGGGAGTCTGCTTTGGTTTCCCCTATGTTCGCCTATAAGACTTTTTCTCTGGATCCTTTGGCAATGTACACCACCCATGTGAGCCTTTTTCATTGTTTTATACTATATTTGTGCACATTGTTTATGAATTGAAGATTAATGTATATCATGTCTTCTACAGTATTAATGTTTTCTCTCCTCAAATATACGGTCCTGAAAAAGCTGAATGCGAAATGCGTTGACCGTTGAAGATGGCCAAAATATGAACATGTTATACATATTCATGTCAACTACATGTTATGAGGTGGTTATAACTTTTTGGGGGTACTCCCCATATATATTTTTAACAAAGGCATATATTTTGATATGTGTCTAATTTTATAATATTGTTTGAAGAAAATATATATCATTTTTATTACAATTATGTGTGGTCTCATGTGGTGACTATAAAGTCCGCTTTATATCTTCTAAAATCATTTTAGAGTTTTTTTTCCGTTTTTTTTTTTTTTTCCCTCCCCCTCTATGCAGTGACGCACTGGTCACTGCCATTGATGTCAAATGGAACGCAGCAGCTGCACGGATACAGCCATTGTTACCAATATGAAATTTGTGTGAGCACAGGTGCTTGTCCCCGAACTCACACTATCTACATTGGGGGATAAGCACCTGCACAGGTGTCTAATTAGGAGCAGCGGTCAAGTATGTGAATCAATGGGACTGCCTGCATGGGGATGCACAAACCATTGGTGCATCCCCAGGCGGTTAAACATGGCCCCGCATAGACATACGCTGTAGCACTCCTTCACTTCCAAGCATCATGCATTTAGACACAGAGTATCTAATCTGTCCCTGGACACAGATTTCTATATCTCTACACACAATTCAACTGAAATCACTTGAATGCAAGGTAAACACAGTGTTAATTATACCACATAACATCATTAATGTAATAATATGCATTAAGAAATGTCTGATAAATGCATATAATTGCAGGTATGTCGATGCCCATGTGACTGAATATCTTATTAAATATTGTAAAAGGGAAAGGTGACTGAACTACTTTTCAAGGTGGGGGTCTAGAATTGCGAACAGTATTGCAAACATTTAGCGCTCCTTCACACTGGTCCTCTGAGATGCATTATCGTGTGTGTTGTGTTAAGGCAGCTTATTCATTTTGAAAATCCTGCCAAAGCACAGTAAGCAACTAAAAACTGAAGCTGCAGCACAAGTCCATAGGTACCTGCTTCACTTTGCTAAGTTAAAGAGGCTGTAAAATGCCTAATATGAGAATTCAGTATATACATATGAATTAAATTGAAGGAAACTTTCTTTAAGATGAAAACATGTTTCCAGTTACATAATCTTAACCACAATTTCATCACTGTTGTGCTGCTCCACTATTCAATTACCTGGCCTGGGGAGAAAGGGGTTGTTGTTGGTGACCAAACTGTGTTTAAAGTGTTACTAAACCCAGGACCCTGCATTCACTATATCTGGCCTCCCACAGTACACACAACATGGAAACGCAATTATTTTATTACATATAAACTGCTAAATACCTTTTCTCATCAACAGTATATAGCAGTCTTGTGACTTCTATCAGTGTCCAGTCAAGCACTGGTTAAAACTTGTAGGAGGAGTTTTCATTCTGCTCTGACTGTCCTATGAGGCTGCATAACCCCTGACGACCCAGTCTGGACAGTGCTGATTGGCCCTGTGCTGATCACATGCACCTTCCCCCAAGAAAAAAAAAAAACCTCTCTAACAATACATACTGAACTGAGCATGTGCAGAGTGACTCTTAGAGCTCTGTACTATCAGCAGATGGATTGGGAGATGAGGAAGAAAGGGAGGATCAGAGAAGACAGGATCAAACAGCCTTTTTACACAATGCAGAAGATTAACCCCTTAGGTTCCACAGTGAGTATAACAAGCATGCACACTTGGCTTTTCCAGTTTAACTTCGAAGATTATTTTATAAAATATTCAGCCTTTTCCTTAAACTGGAGGACTTCAAGTTTTTCTTGAGAAAACTTTGGAATTATGGTTGTGGTCATACCCCTCTCAATGGCTGGGTCTGCCACAAGTGTGGCTCTGCCAAGAGGAATGAATGGGGAGAGTGGTACATATAAGCAGTAGAAACTAGACATGGACGGGCTTTTTTCTGCAAAGGCTGCGCAGTGCCAAGCAGGGCCATACAGTAAAGAGGTGAAGAGCAGAGCTAAAGGTATTTCAATAAGTGTCTTTAAAAGTGAAGTTGTATATTAAAGCAACCCTTGAAGCTGACCTCTGTTCTGTGAAGGGGGGGAAACTTTACAATTACCTTATTCCTCATTCCCGCAGGCTTCCTCCATGCTGTACGAACAGTCCCCCGAAGTCATTCCTTCACTGCCTGACTGGTCACTGCTCCTTGATATTATCCCGTACAGCAGTGCTGCTGAGGTTATAGAGGGTACATCCACAACCCAGGAATTAGGACAGCGGAGTACAGTACAGCCTGACAGGTGATCAAAGAATAAGGCTCTGTTCACACTGGCATTGATTGGCAGGAGTTTTAGGGGAAGTTTTAATGCTCCTCAAACTCCTATGCAATTGATAATATGAACAGCACACAGTGCTGTTCACATTATCAAAACACAAAGAGTGGGGCAGCACAGTGGCTAAATGGTTAGCACTTCCTCCTGGCAGCACTAGGGTCGTTGGATCGAATCCCAGCCACGGCACCAACTGCCTGGAGTTTGCATGTTCTCCCTGTGCCTGCGTGGGTTTCCTCCGGATACTCCGGTTTCCTTCCACACTTCAAAGACATGCTGGTAGGTTAATTGAATCCTGTCTAAATTGGCCCTAGCATGTGTATGAATGTGAGTTAGGGACCTTAGATTGTACGCCCCTTGAGGGTTAGGGACGGATATGAATGTATAATATATATGTAAAGTGCTGTGTAAATTGACGGTGCTATATAAGTACCTGAAATAAAATAATAATAATAGTAACATTTCAAAATTGAAGCTTCATGTCGAGTTTGAAGGAGTTGAATCATTTCAACTCTTTCCATTCAAGTCTATGGTAATGCAACGCAAACATGCTGGCATGTGTTTGTGGCACGTTAATAACATTACATTAATAATAGGCATTTGTGGTGTGCTTTTAGCGTGCGTTTAATGCTCCAAAAATGCACTATGGGCATTTGGGGAGTGTTTATATGCTCGTTAAATGCAAGTCAAATGCAGGTCAAATGCACCTATTAACAAGCATTACTGATATATGTGCATTTGTTAAGAGTTAGCATTTTGAGTCAAGTGTGAACAAGGCCTAAGGTAGATATATCACCTTATTCATCATCTCCTAAGTAGAATGAGCATGAACATTTATTTATTCCTCGGAGTTCAGATTAAAATATTTAGTATCTTTATTTGTTTAAATGTTTAAATGAAAGCTGTCAACATTGACAATGAAACCTTCAAATTCATACAGGAAGCATATCCCATCTGCTTGGTACTTCAGTTTCCCATCCAGAAATCACTATAGTGCACCAGTCCACCTCACTCCCTTTAGTCAGTAATCTGGGGACCCAAGAACCCAGCTGGTGCCATAAAAAGAGGGAGTCCCAACCACACCCAAACGGTTAATAATACTGCTCTTCAGACAACACCATACCTTGGTTTGAAGCTTCTCCACAAATCCAATAGGATCGACCAGCGCGTCCGTCTGGTGTTGGGTTAACTTCTCAATGTCTAACACGGCTTGTGATCGCTGAGCCTCCAGCACCGAGATCGTCTGTAAAAGCCTCTGATAACTGGAAGGAAAAAAAGACATAATGACAATTTGCACCCACAGCTCAAGACTCTAGGAGGACACAGACCATACAGAAATCCATTACACCGAGTGAAATAAAGGTTCTCAGATACACAGTACAGGATATGGCCCAGTCATACAGCAAGGTTTACATCTAAAAGAATATTACAAAATCTGAAATGTCAAAATACATTGTGTGACAGTAACTGAAAGGTTTCATTTAATACAATTTTTGGGGATAGCCTACTGCAGTGTTTCTCAACCTTTTTTCAGTCAAGGCACCCTTACAGTTATGGACAGTTCTGAGGCACCCTTTACAATTTTGGACAGTCCCGAGGCACCACATTCTAAAATGTGAAAAAACTATTCCAATAGTTTTATAGAACGCAGCAACATCCACACATGTAGGACACCCAACATTAGAGGTAATTTATTTTTGGTAGTGGTACTGACTAGTATTCCAATGTTTCTCTTCTTCCTCAGTTTTTCTCCATCACTGATCTAATGTGACCCCAGCACTGATGGAGAGGGGCAGGGGAAGGGGCAAACTAGGATGCTGTTCAGGCAGCTGACATTCTCCTTATCAACTGATGATGTCATTGGCTGTCAAGATGCCGGCGGCTAGAAGATCATAATGGTGCACAATGAAAACCCGTGGCTTTGTGTAACTAAAAGGCAGGCTTGTTCCACCTGTTGGCTTGTTTACACTTTTTGGGCAATTTTTTTAGACATTTTGCCAAGGCACCTCTGAAGAAATCTCAAGGCACCCCAGGTTTCCTGGGCACCCTGGTTGAGAAAGGCTGGCCTACTGTACATCCTGCTTTTGAAAAATCACTACTGTTTCAAAGAATAATTCCAGGCATGGCTATATTATATTTACATTGACCCAGCTTGGACCTATGTAACTATGTATATACCATACCTGTCCAATCCCTGGAAATCACTGTATTAGGCCCCAATACTCTAGTGATCTCCATTTACTTCCAGGTCCTGTACTGAGTGGCTGGCCTGAAGTATTGTGAACAAAGAAGGTCACCCGCTTGTCATGGGCACCAATCAGAAAAGGCTTTGCATGTTCTGAATGAGTGTAAAGCATTCTTTGGTGAAGGTGGAGAGGCAGGGCAGTGACATCATGCTTTTCACCTTGTCTGGTCTAAAAACACTTTTGCATTCATTGAGAAACTGCAAAGCATTCTTTGACTGGTGCCTGTGCCAACCTCGTGTTCACAATGCATCAGGCCAGCCGCTCAGCACAGGCCCTGGAAGCAAGTGGATTTCAGTGGAGTAGGGGTGTCTACTTCAGTGATTTAAAGCTTCCAGGGGCATCCACCAAGTATGGTACATACATACATTGGTCCAAGCTGGACTATTGGAACTATATAAAATATACCTGGAATACAGCTGATACTTTACCTTTCACAGGCTTTGTACTGTGAGTGCTTTGGGTGAGATATGATTTGTACAGTTATATTTCAGGCCCTAAAGACCTTCCCTTTTGACTTGTATGATTCTTGGTACACTCACCGGCCACTTTATTAGGTCCACCTTGCTAGTGCCAAGAAATCTCCCCCACACCATTACACCACCACCAGCCTGAACCGTTGATACAAGGCAGGATGGATCCATGCTTTCATGTTGTTTACACCAAATTCTGACCCTACTATCTGAATGTCACAGCAACCAGTCTGCCCATTCTCCTCTGACCTCTGACATCAAAACTGCCGCTCACTGGATATTTTCTGTTTTTAGGACCATTCTTTGTAAACCCTAGAGGTGCTTGTGTGTGAAAATCCCAGTAGATCTTCATATTTTCAAAAAATACTCAGCCCAGTCGGACTGGCACCAACAGCCAAGCTACGTTAAAAGTCATTTATATCCCCTTTCCCATTCTGATGCTCGGTGTGAACTTAACCACTTCCAGTCTGGACACTTTCACCCCCTTCCTGCCCAGGCCAATTTTCAGCTTTCAGTGCTATCACACTTTGAATGACAATTGCGCGGTCATGCAACACTGTACCCATATGAATTTTTAAAAAATGTTTTGAGACAGATAAAACTTTATTTTGGTGGTATTTATTCACCACTGAGGTTTTTACTGTTTTTATATATAAATGAAAAAGTCCCAAAAAAATTTTTTAAGTGTTTTTCTTATAAAATTTTGCAAATAAATAATCTTTCTTCATAAATCTTGGCCAAAATGTATTAATCTATCATTTTAGTAAAAAAAAAAAAAAAAAAGAAAGAATAACCCAAATTTATTATAAGTTTATAACCAAAAATAACAATTTTTCAAAATGTTTTTTACATTTTCATTTATTGTTTTATATTTTATTTATAGTTTTTTTTTTTTGTCTTTTTAACATACTGTCACTCTAGCAGTACAGTGTCACCATAGTGACACTGTACTACTTGTAGGGGGTGAAGATTTTTTTTTCTTTTTTTACACGGATTGCTTTTACACCCATAAAAGCTGTAAAAAAATTATTTCTCCTCTCTGGCTGCATTCCTGCAGCCATTGAGAAATACTTGTGAGCTGTGATTGGTCACAGCTTGTCACATGGTATAAGGCTGTTGTGTTGTCAATTTGTGTTACCAAGCAATTGAACAGGTGTACCTAATAAAGTGGCCGGTGAGTGTACATATTTAATTTCCAACCCTTTCTGGCTCACAGTATGCCAGCTATCTACATAAATCACCAAGATAGTTCACTTCTGAGTACACAGTCTAACATTCAGGAAGTAGAGTGTGAAATCAGGACAGTAATGTTTTTGGCTATATTCTCAGGTGTAGTTTATGCAAAGCGTAAAACTCCTGGCGTTTTCCCACACTCAAGGTGGAAAATACATCACACGAAGCATCAGTGTTTACACAAGTACAGAGGTTTATCACCATTCATTCCAGTTGTACGTCCCACCTACATTACCTCAGGAGCAGGAAAATGCTGGGAATTTTACGTTATGCGTATTTTATGTCTGCAGATGTCAGTGTGAATGAGGCCTTGTGATCACGCTTTTATCCTTCTGATAGTTATAAGGCCTCAATGATCTACCCTCAAAGGTGCAATAGATTTAGGAACTGATGTGGCTTACGGCCAAAGTTAAAAAAGCTATAGATAATAAGAAAAGAGTTTTTTTATTAAATATAAAAATGAAGGAACGCTATCATCGTATAAACATTACAAAGAGTATAACAGAATATGCAAAAAGAAAATAAAGGCCACAAAAAGTGAAAACGAACGACAGATTGCAAAAGATAGCAGGACCATCCCCCAAAAATTCTTCAAATATATTAATAGTAAAAAGGTTCGGTCCGAGCATGTAGGCCCTTTACAAAATAATCTAGAGTGGGTGACTGGGGACAAAGAAGGCAAATGTATTAAATACCTTCTTCAGCTCTGTGTATACAAAGGAGCTCTTGTCCATAATGGGCATGGTATTGACACAGTTCCAGATGATCCACATTGGCTCACAATTGATATGATCGAAAAATATTTAGACAGAATAAATGTGAATAAGCACCTGGACCGGATGGCATACACCCACGGGGCCTGAAGAATTGAGCTCTGTCATTTCAAAGCCATTGTTTCTAATTTGTAGGGACTCTTTAATGACTGGCATAGTACCACTGGATTGGTGTAAGGCCAATGTGGTGCCAATATTTAAAAAGGGGTCAAATCTTTCCCAAGTAATTATAGACCTTTTAGTTTAACTTCTATAGTTGGGAAGATACTGGAGAGTTTAATAAAAGACCACATAGATGAGTTCTTGCTAAAAAACAATATTTTAAGCAACAGACAGCATGGATTCATGAGAGACAGAAGTTGTCAAACAAATTTTATTTCTTTTTATGAGGAGGTGAGCAAAACCTTGGACAGAGGGGTGGTGGTGGACGTGGTATACTTGGACAGAGGGGTGGTGGTGGACGTGGTATACTTGGACAGAGAGGTGGTGGTGGACGTGGTATACTTGGACAGAGAGGTGGTGGTGGACGTGGTATACTTGGACAGAGAGGTGTCGGTGGACGTGGTATACTTGGACAGAGGGGTGGCGGTGGACGTGGTATACTTGGACAGAGGGGTGGCGGTGGACGTGGTATATACTTGGACAGAGGGGGTGGTGGTGGACGTGGTATACTTGGACAGAGGGGGTGGTGGTGGCGTGGTGGACAGTGGATGTGGTATACTTGGACAGAGGGGTGGCAGTGGACGTGGTATACTTGGATTTTGAAAAAGAGTTTGACACAGTTCCCCACACAAGGCTAATGTATAAATAAAAAGTCTACAGGCTTGGAAAAATCTGTATGTAAATGGATAGAAAACTGGCTAAAAATGGTATTCAAAGAGTAGTGGTTAATGATTCATACTCTGAATGGTCTAGGGGTGTCAGTGGTGTACCCCAAGGTTCAGTGTTGGGACTCTTACTTTTTAATATATTTATAAACGATATAGGGTCTGGAATTAAAAATCCCATTTCAGTCTTTGCAGATGACACCAAGCTGTGCCGTGGAATAACTTACAAGTCAACCGCAATGCTCTGTTTAATTGGGCAAATATGTGGCAAATGAGGTTTAATGTTGATAAATGTAAGGTTCTGCACTTGGGGGCTAAGAATATGCATGCATCATACATACTAGGGGGGGTACAACTGGGGGAATCAATGGTGGAGAAGGATCTGGGAGTTCTGGTAGATCACAAGCTTAACCAATTCAATACCGGGCACTTTTACACCTTCCTGCCCAGGCCATTTTTCACGTTTCAGCGCTCTCACACTTTGAATGACAATTGCGCGGTCATACAACATTGTACCCAAACTAAAATTTTATAATTTTCTTCACACAACTAGAGCTTTCTTTTGGTGGTATTTAATCATCGCTGGGGTTTTTATTTTTTGCTAAATAAAAAAAAGACCAAAAGTTTTGAAAAAAAACACGTTTTTCTTTGTTTCTGTTATAAAAGTTTGCAAATAAATAATTGTTCTTCATAAATTTAGGCCGAGATGTATT